GTATACTGACAGAACAGTGAAGCGCAGACAGAACGATGAATGTATCAATGTAGGAGATGTGAAGACGAGAAGGTTACTGTTTGCAGATGACTCTGTTTTATTGACATGTTCTCAAACTGTTCTAAATGTCCGCAACCGAGTGCAACGTGGCCGGTGAATGTGTGAACGCGTCTAAAATATACCTGAAAATCCTAATGCTTTTTCGTTGATGAGAAATGCGAGGAACAGACTGACTGGCGAACTGAAATGACCAGTGAAGTAACGCTTTAACTAACCAGAATTGCTTTGACTAAAATAGAGCAGAGTCTGAAGAATAATCTGTCTGTGTTCAAGTATATCTTCTTCCAGACATTCATCGACAGTCATGTAATAAAGGGCGTTGCCTAAAAAACTTCGATCAAGGGTACAAAGAGCTGGGTGTGAGTTTTCTGAGACGACTCTTCGCCTTACACGTCTCGACACAATGCAGAGTGTTGTATAGTTGTATAGCAGCTGCTTCTCCAGATTAAGAAGTCACCGTTATGATGATTTTGGCACATGTAGTAAATGCCTCCAGAAAAAAGGTTAAGAAACTACCATCTGTCCAAATGACCGACCGAAAACCTCGGATGCGGGCCAACAACAATCTGAGCCAAGCAGAACGAACGACTCCGCTTCAGACTATATATCTTCTATGGAAGCTACAATGCTGTTACGAGATTGGGAACACTGGAATCACTGTCTAACAAATGTGTCTCAGCAACTGGAAAAGACAAGCGGTGTTCAAAATGACTGAATAAGATGTCTGAAGAAACTGGCATAGAAACTTTCCGCCTTCATAAACAATTAAAGTGATCATTGTGAAACGGAATAAATACTTTAAAAACCGAGATTTTCGACACTTAATGATGAACTTTAATCAGTTATCTGGTGGGAAAACGGACGAATCAGACAACATAGTCGATGCCTCGCATGCTTTGGCGTAACCACACCAGAACATCATGCTGCATCCATTCGCAAGTTGGCGACTTTATATCTGTTTATCGGCTAATGGCACTAAAGCAACAGCAGTATGCAATAACGCGGAAGGGAACTGGCAGTCCTAGGAAAGTTTTACGTCACACATGCGAGCTAAAGTGCAAAGTAACGAACTGCAAAAAATATCACCTCCTCGATAATGAAGAACCATATACCCGCATATTAAATCCATATAATATTTAAAAAAGTGGCGAAACTAGAATAAACAATTAAAGTTAAGCAGAAAACGACATAAAATGTTGTTAATTATCAGTGAATAAAATTATTGTTATTATTTTAAAAACTTTTTCAAATACTGTATGCTTCAGTGTGCACTTGCGATTCGATGGCTATCGATCCAATAAATAACAATGATGCTAAAGCCTTTATTTTACTGCGCACACTTCGACTAAACAACGTTCA